AGGATAGGGACAGTAGTTAGGTTCTACTTCACCAGACAGAGATTGGTGTCTTCGGCAAGCCGAAAGATAGGCCAATTCCCTATGGTCGTAGGCCGCTCTCTGGAATGTCTCCACTTGTCTGGTGAGGCCGGCAAAGGTTAAGGCTGAGCCCTGCCGGTCGAGCAGTAAATCTAGTAGCACCCGCTCAGCGCCAGAGGTGTAGCTCTCGACAAAAGGAAAACACTCTCTCAAGTATAGTGGTAGTTGAGAGAGAAGACGAGGATCGCTGGCCCTCATGTCGCGACCGGCCTTATTACAAGAAGGGCAATGATAACGTTCCTGAACTAGCCAAACCTTGCCCCGTGAGGTCTCCACCGACTTCGGAGCTTGATGAAGTCCCTTAGATTGTAGGTTACGACCACACCCAGGGCACCGGAAATCGAATGAGAATGAAGACTTCGGCGACCAGAAGAAACACTTAATGCCTGTAAACGCCAGTAGTTGTGGTTTCCGGGGGGACACAATGCCTCGTTGCCCCGGCAGGACGTGTTTGAAAGGAGGTAGTGGGTGCTCAACCAGTTGACACCCTTTTTTAAATTTGTAGCACCAATTCGCCTGGTCGCGGCCCATTCGCTTCACTCATCCCAATGGAACGCTTGAACTCCCACTAGTACCAGCGGCCACGCTGCCCACAGTATCAATACTCTCCCCAGCAGTAGAAGCACGGTGAGTAGAACTGGTAGTGTCCTTAGTAGTAACAGTAGCGGCCTAAACGGAATTAAATTCCAGTGGAGTAGCAGTATCGTTTCTATAACTCACTGAAGTAATTTTTTTGTTATCCTGAGCATCCCCATCCTGAGCATCCTCAGTAACCGCCTCTCCAGTAACAGTAGCGGCCTAAACGAAATTAAATTCCAGTGGAGTAGCAGTATCGTTTCTATAACTCACTGAAGTAATTTTTTTGTTATCCTGAGCATCCCCATCCTGAGCATCCCCAGTAACCGCCTCTCCAGTAACAGTAGCGGACTAAACGAAATTAAGGAAAAGTAGTAGAAGCGTTAGACGAATAGTAGCAAAGAATCAAAGTAAGTTGTAAAAAACAGAAGGGAAGTAAACAATTTAGGGCGGAGCGAAGCGTTTCAGGATGGCAGATTCGAGGGTCGAGGGTTCGAACCCCAAGGGTCCGATTTCTTCGAATTTCCACGGATCGAGCGCGTTTTGGCGAGCGAAGCGAGCCGTAACGCGCTATTGGAACATTTTGGAACGACCGCGTAGCGCGAGTTCCAAAATGTTCCAATAGTGTTCCATCTGTTCCAATACGTTCCAATATGCCCTGGAAGACCCTTCGGCCCGCCGCGCAAGGATGACACGCACAAATCGAGAAGTGTAAAAAGTTTTTCGCAATTTATTACCGTGCAGCCCAGGTGCCATGACTGTAGTTGTTCAGGCAACGCGCAAACTCCAAATGTTTGAGAGAATACAAATTCTTGGAGCCTCCAAGTTGGAGGCCTCAAACAACCCCTTTCCCCTGTACAATGTTGACCACCGTAGGGACCACCAGCGCGGAGGTACTCAACAACATTGGCCAGGGGTGAGGGGATGTGATGCTGTCATATAACTGCGTCTAATCTACGCTCTTCACAGTGCTGTAATTCAACCACTCAGGGGAGCGACAAGTCGCGCTTTCCGCGTGCTCAATAATCGAGCCAAAACTGCATCATCCGAGAATCGAACTCGGGTCACAACGATGGCAACGTTGTATTCTACCACTAGACCAATGATGCAAGATAAAAGTTTCCTTTGTCTCAGTCTACATACGAACAGAAGCCAAAATAAAATCCTTTAATCCGGCAACCCGGAATCGAACCAGGGACCATCCGATTACTTGAACACTACAGTCGGACGCTCTACCAACTGAGCTATTGCCGGTCAATTTCGCTTGCTTCGGGCGTCTTTTTGCTTGAAGTAAACGCAGGAAAATCACACGAAATTCGCTTCAAACATCAAACTCTTCTACAACCACTTTTCCGATGCGGGGACTCGAACCCCGGTCGCGTGGGTGAGAGCCACGAATCCTAACCAGCTAGACTACATCGGACCACAGAATCATACGTGCAGGAGAAGCATCGTCATTTCTGAGACTGGCCGAGAGGGCAGGAATTTCTTGCGCGCATCGGTAAAACCTAGCATACCACATTTTCCCCAGCTCACTCGGGGCCAAGACGGTGACAGGATTTTATCTAAGGGCAAACGAATCACCACTTTATACGAAGCAGTTGGCCAAAAATTACAAGAAGACAGCTGGTCAATCGCGCCACTGAGCTTCACCACTGACTGTGACAGGACTACACTGATAAATAATTACTAAAATACTACTATTTATTTCACAAGGTGTCACCAGTCACCACTTATCTGACTAGTACTAAAGCTACTGGGTAGGTCGGTCCTCGTTAATTGTACCGCGTTGTGGCGGTGATACGGATAAAGTGACTACGCTGACTGCGTTCGGAGCCTATCACACCTGAGTCATACCGAACCTTCCATACTCACATCGACTTTCGACTAAGACTCTCCCGTAAGGAGAGAAGTTACTGTCCATGAA